CCAGTAAAAAAAAAAAAAAAAAAAAGGGGGCCGGTCTGGCATGAAACTCCAGGGCTGGAAATGAGTCCCACTCCGGCCCTGCAGAAGACTATTTAAAATAGTTTTGTTTTTTTTCTGTACAGTTTTGGTGTCAGGCAGAAATCTTACGAGTCCCACACAGGCAGCATGTTTGGGCATCATGTGACATGAGCTGTCTACCAGCATTTGAGGCACATGAAAATGCTGTGTGGATAGGCAGCTCGCTAGGTTTTCAAACCCATACAATTATTTATGGGTCGTATATTATTTTTGTCCGTTATGTTTATTCTTTTTGTCCATTATCTATAACCCACATGTTCAGAGCAGAGCGCCTGCGCGGACGCGTCTGTCAAACGATAAATGCCGACACCAGTCTCGAGGAAAACTCCTCCCTGTCGACAACACGCCGCTCTCATAGCGCAATGGTCTCCTGGATTATTTCTAGGCTTGTGGTGTAAGTCTTTATTCTGCTCTTGTAAAGCATTTTCATTGGGTTGCATGAAAATTCAGTGCGTAATCTTTATATGTATATGTTGTTTTTCAGCTTTTTTTAATGCGAAAACGCAAGGGTTTCTAGGGCACCTCTTAATTCTAGGCAGAATGAAATCACATATGGTTATGTATCAGGCCTGATTTGTCCTGGTTAGTCTTTTGATTATTATGTTGAAAGGCTATTACAAAGGTTACTGTACACTTGCAAGCTAATGGATATTGATGGTTCTCCAAAATAAGAATCATGTAGGATATAGCTTAGCTTTTGAAGCAATTAATTTTATGTAACACTTTTAATTGCAGAATTTTGAATTTAGTGGACATGCACAATGTAGGGTTTTAATATTGAGTCATTTTTGGAGTCGTACATACAGTAGAGCAGGTCTTTGATGTGTCATAAAGACAATGGGATGGTCAACCAGCCTGATGGTCACTAATGTGTTTTCCAGTATTTGCTTTATTTTTCATTGTCGCTATTTTATTTAATTGACGAGCGCATTTGAATGTATTCCATGTAAATTTATTTTAAAAAAATTTAACGCTTCAGTCAATCTGGTTGTGGGTGCAAAATCTCTAAATAGCCGTTCAATTCATTTTAGATCACAATATCCGATGACATTGCACATTTGCCAACACTTGTGCTGTAAACTAGCTGTGTAAAGAGTCTAAAATTAGACAACAAACCGGTGTTTTGGCGTGCCCTAGATAGTGTGCAGTGGGCTCTATTTAGTCGGAAATGTTTTGTTTTGTTTTGTGGGACCCTGACGGTGTCGTGGTGGCTCTGGATTGGGTTTGTGGGTCGGTCATTTGATCGGGTCAGAGGCGCAGCTGTTGCTGGGCTGGAAGAAAGAGGGGACACTGGAATAGTGCTAAACTGAAATACTTAAACACAGGTGCAGGGCACTTCTTTTTGGTTATCTAGCACTTTCCAATCACCCATTTAACCCACAGCCTTGCAAACGGTATTCGTTCCGTCCCATTTGCTCTGATCTTTTCTTTGCGCCCTTGACCAGCGTTCACTTGTCAGGTCTATTTTTATCAAGCATGCAGAATGTAAACCTGGAACATAAACGGGGTTGTGCAGATATGTCGCCTGTTTACGTGCGACACTGGCGTTACAATAGGCAAGAACTGGAAAAAATAATATTCTGGGCTGAGTAAATCAGACTCCAGGCCTACTAAAGGGCCGTTATCTCAAATATCAATAATGGAAAGGGAGTGGAGCGGTTTCCTTTCAGGGAAGTGGTGGGCCTTGATGGGAATTATTAGTGGCCATTGTTATGTCATTTTGTAATACTGAAATCATATAATACTTGTACGTAATTTCTGTGACAAATAAACCCTAACCTTAACTGTTTTCTGAAGAGATTTGAGTTTATGCAAAGATGGGGTAATAAAAAGCATTTGCTGTATTTTGTGGTGGTGAGACTGGGTTACTTTTTATTCCAGTGAATGGTTTCTCAAAATAAATGTATTATTGAATGTCAGTAACCCACTGGTATTATTGGCCAGGAAAAAAATCAAATCAGTGAAATGGCAAAAATGTAATTAAATAAATTCTATAGCAGGGCATGTGGGGTATACACTATTTGGGGTAAGTTGTCACAGATGGAACTTGCTGTTTATTTACACTCATCTGTGAACAAAACACATTTGATATTTCAAATTACAATAAAATATTAAGTAATCAATAAATGAAATGTGACAAAACTACTTAAATGTATTATAAGCTAGTTTTACAGTACTTCTACTTTATTGACTATTCTATTTATTGTTAAATAACTGTGTAATGTAATAATTCATTAAACAACAAATAGGCAACATACTGTTATTTGGCCAACAGAAATTATAATGAATGAAATAAAATTATATATTTTAAAATACAACATAAAACTTAAAAAATACCCTTGACCTATTTCAATTGTTTTCTGCTTATTTATCTTAAGCATGATTGTTGCATTTCTTACAGGCTTATATTTGGTACCCTTTACCCAGCGTACTCCTCATATAAAGCTGTTAAATCAAAAGATGTGAGAGAATATGTAAGTACAGCTCTGATATATTTCCATCAGTTGAACTCATTAACCTTATTGCTTATTTGCCTGCTGATTGTGTAAACTGTTTCAAACAGGTGAAATGGATGATGTACTGGATAATATTTGCACTTTTTACTACAGTTGAAGTGATTACTGATATCTTTTTGTGCTGGTGAGTACAATGTGCCATTGCTTTCATCATATCCTTTTGTTTGGAATTACTCATATTTTTATTTCTTCTGATGCATGTGGGCGGTAACCAGCATGACATATGAGTGTATGATTGTCTTTTATTGCTTTTGAAGGCTCCCATTCTACTATGAACTCAAAATCGCCTTTGTGGTGTGGTTACTTTCCCCATACACAAAGGGATCCAGTGTACTGTATAGAAAATTTGTCCACCCTACACTGTCCTCTAAGGAGAAGGTACGGTATTTGATGTGATTTTTCCTTTTGATGTGATGATCTATTTATTTTTATCCTGTCTAGGCTGAAAAAATATTCAAAGAAGCTATAGAGCTTTCACTAATGCATAGCCTAATACATATTCTAATATTTTAAATGTTAAACAAACTAGCAAATATCATCCTTAACAGCTGTGAATAATTCTCAGCTTACCAGTGTTTTATAATGCTAAGAAACTGAATTGTTGGAGTTGAGGAGAAAGAACTTTTGACTCCTTTTCCTGTAACCTTTTTGAGTTGATTTTCCTGGTTGACCGAGGATGAGCGGTGTTAAGGAAATGGTACTGTTATTTTCCACAGTCTTTCCTCTGCTTTTTATTCTTAGGGCAGGAAATTCGTTAGGAGTACACACTAAGGGCAAATGGATATGACAAACACAAAACACTGATAACAAAGAGAAAACGAAAACTCATTTACATTTAGTCATTTAGCAGATGCTTTCATCCAAAGCGACTTACAAATGAGGACAATGGAAGCAATCAAAATCAACAAAAGAGCAATGATAAATAAAAAAGTTATTAAAAAAAGTTATTCATAAAAAAAGTTGTTCAAAAATGATGCTGATCTGAAAGTGTACAACAGGATGAAACAGTACCATTCTTCATACAGCTGCTGTGAAATGTTCTTTATAACTCTTTCTTAGGACATCGATGAATACCTTTGCCAAGCAAAAGATAAAAGCTACGACACCCTGATGCATTTTGGAAGGAAAGGTCTGAATGTGGCGGCTACAGCTGCAGTAATGGCTGCCACTAAGGTAGTAATCCAATACTGTTAGAGGAAATGGCACTTTCCACGAAAATGGTACAAAGGCTGTCACTCTGTTACCAAAATTTGTTACCAAAATTACCAGAATCTGTTACCAAAATCTATTACCAAAATTACCGAAATCTTTTACCAAAATTACAGAAATCTGTTACCAAAATTACCAGAATCTGTTACCGAAATCTGTTACCAAAATTACCTAAATATGTTACCAAAATTACCAGAATCTGTTACCAAAATTACCGAAATCTGTTACCAAAATTACCGAAATATGTTACCAAAATTACAGGAATCTGTTACCAAAATTACAGGAATCTGTTACCAAAATTACCGAAATCTGTTACCAAACTTACCGAAAATGACCAGAATCTGTTACCAAAATTACCGAAATCTGTTACCAAAATTACCGAAAATGACCAGAATCTGTTACCGAAATTACCGAAATCTGTTACCAAAATTACAGAAATCTGTTACCGAAATTACCAGAATCTGTTACCAAAATTAGTGAAATCTCTTACCAAAATTAGTGAAATCTGTTACCAAAATTACCAGAATCTGTTACCAAAATTACCCAAATCTGTTACCAAAATTACCAGAATCTGTTACCAAAATTACCAGAATCTGTTACCAAAATTATCTAAATCTGCATATAGATTTGAGTGGTTTCGTTTTTGTCTAGCAAGATAAATAAAATATAAACAAACAAATAAATAAAATTTTTAACAAATAAAAATGGTAACAGCGATGCAAATTTAGCCTAAATTAAGATATGTCTCAGTAAAGCCTAGCTACTTTGGGGCAAAATGGCTTTGGGACAATATTGGTTTGTAGATATAAATTATAGAAAAATATTTATTTGATGTTTTCTTCTTACAATAAATCTGGTAACAGGGTTGAATAGTCGAGCATGACAAATGCAGTCAACACAATTCATGTTTTTCAAACAGGGGGAAATCATGTAGCAACAGGATTCCGCATCTATAATAAACTGAATTATTAATTAAAAAGATGTAAAACATTATGAGTTTAATTGTTTAGGCTTGATATGTTTATCCAGAAGAACATGGAATTTATTGCTTAAAGGTATCAGTTTGATATATCACTTTTGGGTGTAGTTTACATATCCCATATTGACTGGTTGTTAGTTTATTTGAGATAATATGTTTCTTTTTAAGTTAATATTTACTATATTTATGCCTTATTATAATTTAAGCAGATGGCATAAACAAAACATACTTCCACATCTTCAGGCTAATTTTTTATAAACAAAACAGATTGCTGATGATAGTCTAAAACACAGCATGACAGTATTTAGACCATCTTAAGGAGTTCCATCTGACTCTCCATGTTCTCGATCCAGGGCCAGGGCGTTCTCTCCGAGCGACTCCGCAGCTTCAGCATGCAGGACCTGTCATCTTTCCAGGCAGAGGGCCAGGCACAGAATGCAAGTTCTGTAACTACTCAACCTGCAGCCGCGCAGCACAGAACACGCACCATGATGCACAGCAAATCAGAGACGGGTTACAGCAAGGGTAAGCAAAGCCAAGCCGAATGATCAGTGCTGTATTTCTCCTAACCCTTTGAAGAAGATCCTACTATCAGCCAATCAGATTTCTGCTAATCCCGTTTGGTTAAGCTGCTTCTCTCAGTCATCCTTTACATGCAATTAATTCTTAACTTGAGTGTTGCAGCCCTGCCAATTTTCTGGGTAAATGTTTGATTAGGAAATTGTTTATTATTCTCTAGTCTTTACCTATTGCGTATTACTGTGATTCAGTGAAAGGATCATAGAGAAGCATGTATTTCTCTTAATGGATAGTTCACCCGAAAAAAGAAAATTAACGTTGTTCAAGTCATGTTGTTTCAAACCCATATGAGTTTCTTTCTTCCGTGGAGCACAAAAAAAATATTTGGCAGAATGTTCCTGCTGCTCCTTTCCATTCAATTCAAGTGCATGACAACGGGTTGTTCAAAAATGCTTCAAAATGTTGTAGAAAAAGATCCAAAATGTACCCAAACAAATTCTCTGCAACATTCCAAGTGCTCTGTAGTCATGCAATGGCTTAAGGAACAGAATGAAATTGTCACTCCCACTCTAGCTCTCAAATCTCATTTACGTCTGCACACATTTACATACATATATGGCAAATTGCGCCATCATTGATGTTAAACCTGTTTTTATTGTGTGTGTGTGTGTGTGTGTGTGTATATGTGTGTGTGTGTGTGTGTGTGTGTGTGTGTTTTATTCACTTCCTATTCACTTGAGATAACTGCTTTTCCATTGTTTTTCTATGTAAAAATGCACTAGAACAATATGTTTCATCATTGCACTTGTGTCTTTTCCAGTGCGCCCCTCAAAAAGTTTAACAGTAAAAAAAAATGTCACTAGACTTACATTTCTTTTCCATTCCAATGCACTGCGTCTCGCATTTTTAAACCCAAAAATGCATTCTGTGTGAACGACCCAGTACAATAAGGTTACAAAGGAACAATGACGAGGGAATGACTTTTTAGAGCAATTTTTGATTCCACTGATGAATGCTAAATACATTAACAGCCTATCAAAATCCATCTTGACTGTACAGAGCTTGAGCATTAATAAGCGGAGGACAATATAACTTCAGTGTATATATAACAGAACATTATCATCCGCTGGTGTGGACGCTAATATAGTCATCATTATAGTTTTAATTATCATTCTCTGTGTGAATGGGCCTCTTTTATGTTTTCCCCTGGTACAAGAAGTGATTAGGGTTAAACAGGCCTTTCCTATTCCAGTTACACATGTGAAAACACACTTTAGGAATGACAAAATGTATCAGATTCTCAAGTTGTTTTCCCCTGCACCAATCATTTTTAGCAGCATTGTCCTTCACACAGTGTCAAAACTAACTATAGTAACTAAACATTTACTGTCATTCAGCTTTACATGATTTTTGAGTCTTCCATAATGGCATCTATAATGGATAAGACATAAAAACACTTGGCTCATTATTAAAATATATTCAGAGTAGAGAGTATAAGTGCAGTTGGAGTCACAATTTGTTTTGATGTGCTGTTGTAATGGTACAGGCCATGATTTTGACATGACCGAATATGAGATGTTGAACTTGGAGCAATATTCCCCCATTGAGCCTCCTGGTCCGCTGACACCCACACCTACCCCGACCCCATCCCAGCCCACTCTGCCTCAGCCTGAGCCCACGACTCCACTGCTTTCCTCTCCTGAGTCCTTCCAGGATAAATCCGCATCCCAGCCCATAGCCTCAGAGGAGCCTGAGAAGAAGGAGGAATTTGCCTCATCTGCTTCAGTCCAATTCAGATTTAAGAGGCGTGCCCCTGAGGTACCCCTGTTTTCTGATGGTTAGCTGTTGACTTGCCTGGCTGCAGTGAGCTAACTGTTAGCTTGTTGTGACTAACCCGCTTAAATCACTAACCAGTGCTGCTGTTTACCGGCAAAAGTCAGCTGAGTGAGTCTCGGAGTGAGTCTGACACTCTCACCTCCGGTCACGTGGCTGTCTAAAATGGCAGGGAAAGATGATTCAAGACTCTTTGATGGATGAGAGACATTGTTACACAAGTGTATGTGTTTATAAGATAAATTTAAGACTTATTCTCTCAAAAGGTCAGGTTTGAAAATGCTAGCTACTTAGCTGACAACTTTTTGTTATTGTCTCTTATTATTGATCCTTTCTGCTGGTAATAGGTTCTTTATAGTGGAAAAGGTTATTTGGATTACTAAAATGTCACTCTAAGAAAAAAATTAAAAAGAACCGTTCACTGAGAGGAACTGAAATGTTATAGCATCACTGTGAAAAACCCCTTTAGGTTTTTAAGAGTGTTAGAGTAATGTTTGATTCATAAACCTTTATTTTGTATAATTTCTTACTGTTTAAAACTGTTTATTTCATCAGAATTATTGCACTTTCACACAAGTACAAATCAAGAGAATCTCAACTTGCGTGGTTTGCTTGCAGATTTAGTCACAGCAAACAGTCCAAATGACTGCGTGAAAGAAAACAGACTGCATTATACTATTATTTTAGCAGAATATCTAGTGCATGTGTATATGGTTGCCAGGTCGGGAAGTTTAAGTAAACCACTGGGTAGAAGATTTATCGATTCGAAAGAAAAGCTTGTTTCAGGAAAAATAATAAACTGTATGCTTCATATTGCATATGATTATGCTTAATAAATAGAGAGAAGCAAGATTAAATCATGATTAAAATCATGGTGCCGCCCTGTCTTGATTCTGCTGTTTTCCTGTTTATCTCTGTAAAGATGCTTTGTCACAAACTGTATTGTATAAAGTGCTGTAGAAATAGTGACTTGACATGACCACCCCCTTGCAGTGGACCATATTTTGTTGTGGTGGTGGTACTGTGACTTCTCCAGAAGCTGTCAGCTGACCAGGAATTATATGGGATGGGATTTCATTTGTAGATGTTGGTCGGAGTAGCCCTGCCCTGTAAAGAACTGAGTTTGCTGCTTACAAGATTTGTCTGATGTGAACCATGTCCTGAACAAAACAATAACTCAGTGCACCTAAGATTAAGATTTGTTGACTTGCATAATGCTGGAAGAGCTACACAGGCATCTCTCAAGGCCATGATGTTCATCACTTCACTGTAATTGTCTATAAATGGAGAAAGTTCAGCACTGTTGCGACTCTTAAGAGTGAATGTCCTGTAACAATGACTGCAAGAATGCCATAATGTCATACTTTAATTCATTTCAACATTCCTGTAGTTAAGATCATGCTGCTGCCTTTTACAGATGTGTGGAAGGACAAGAGTAGCGTCTAAAAACACACACTGTACTAAAACATTTGTGTGTGTAGGAGCACTTACAGGACTCACAGTTCTAACTTTCTTTCTTGTAATTATGATTTTATATCTGAAAATTTAGACTATTTCTTGTATTTGTGATTTTATGTCTCGTTATAGCGTGTTTATTTTTCACAATGGTGACGTTTTTCATATAATTTCTTACAATGACTTACAATGACTCTATATTCTGCAAATACTTTACTTGTAATTGTGAATATATTTTGTAATTGCAGTTTTATATCTCACAACTGTGAATTTGTTTCACAATCTTTCTTGGATATTTCAACTTTAATTCTTGTAATTTTGATTATATCCCACAATTTGTACTTTATTTCTTGTGACTTTGTAATATAATTGCATCTTTCTTGTGATTTCAACTTTAATTCTTGTAATTGTGACTATATCCCACAATTTTGACCTTATTTCTTGTAATTGCGACTTTGTTATATAATTACATCTTTCTTGTAATTTCAACTTTAATTCTTGTAATTGTGACTATATCCCCCAATTTTGACTTTATTTCTTATAATTGCAACTTGGTTTCTCAATTGCAACATCTTTATTGTAATTTTGACTTTATTACTTGTAATTGCGACTTTGTTTCACAATTGCAATTTCATTTCTCTTAATCTCATAATCACTCAATTCTGGCTTTATATCTCACAATCACTTTATTTTGATTTTAATAATCTATAAATAAACTTTTTTATAAACACAATTACCTTATTTTTTACTCGGATGCCATGTCTACACTGGCCTGGACTGTTGTTGCATCACAACAGCTTGAGGCTGTCTACACGAAATGCGTCAAAGCGAAAGTTCCAAATGCATTTTGTCCTGTAGTCGGTAGTAGCGCAAGTGTGTAGAGTACGTCAGAAATAAAACGGGGCATTAATTTACTGTCTGTGTCTCATCCAATGTGGAGAGTATCATTGATTATAATGGGTTTACTTTGATTTTGTCGCATCACTTGTGTCCGATGTAGACACTATGTGAGAAATAGACTTCCATAGATTGATAATACTTAATGTTTAATTTTGTTTTGCTTTGCTTTATTCTTTTTTGCTTTGTTTTGTGTGTACATCATTTTATTCTTACATGAACCAAAGCTAGTGGACCAGTTTAACCCTTGACCATTCCACAAATACAACTAACCTGACTAAAAACAGGCCTTTGTACACAGAGCATGTTAAGTCATGCATTCTCAAATCGTGTTTGTCTTTCCTTAGACTGACACATCACAGAAATATACATGCCCTTGCTCATATTGACCTGATCATGTGATCATGTTTATTTGTGAACAGTAAACATGAAGTGTGCATCGCTCTCTGATTTGATACCTCTTCTTTCTCTCTCAGCCTCCTCCTAGAACCCTAAGACCCGTCACCCGATCCAGATCAAAGAACGCCCTCTCTTCGGACACTGAAGCCATGTGACTGTGCATATGCTCCGAGAGCGCTTTAGCTGTCTTACCTGCAACATGAGGAGATGCAACAAGAGAAGGCAGGGAGAAAAAAAAAGGAATGCAGCCAAAATGTTGAAATATTCAAAAGCAGCCTTGTTCTGTAATGAGGTAACCAAAGCGATGCGCAACCTTTCGCTTCTGATCTTTGACACTCAAGGGGGAGGGGATTCATTTAGGTAACACGTTCGTGTACATACTGCTGCTCTGAGACTCTTTGGGGGTTTGAGTGTAGACTGTTTGATTTCTTGGTATGATTTTGGGAGAAACAAACGCATGCATGTCCCTCTGGTCACCCAACCATAATCACTGCACACAGTCATAATACTTACTTTATTTTAAGGGGGACTACACTCATTTTGGGTCCCCCAAAGCCCCCTTAACAACTACTGAGTAACAAGGTGTTTCCGAATCAGCCTTTCTTAGAACAGAAGTTCTTAGTGAAAAAGTACTGCACTGATGTGGTAGGTGTGTTTGACTGCATTTATTTCATAATTTACGTATCAACAAATGCAAAGGATCATCTGTACAGAAGGAGTTTTTAATAAAAGCTTGTAGTTGAACCAAAAAAGGTATTAACCACAATACCTGACGTGATTTAAAATAGATGGACAAAGTGCAATGGATTTTACACTTCTTAGAAACTTGCAATAGTTCAGCTATAAACTTAAAATATTGTGCTGTAACTTCAAATATATATAAAGTTAATCAATAACCATCTTGTTAAAAATGCACTAGAAACTTTCCTAGACACAAAGAGGTAATAGGTTGATATTTGTTTATGGACATTCTTACTTTACTTTATTAATTATTAGGCATGTACAGTATTTTTATCATTTCAAAACTCCGCACTGATTGATCAACATGTATTTTGAAGTAATCTAAACGGACGGTTTTCTGTTATTTCCTAGCTGGCTTCTTAAACGTCTTCAGTTGCTTGATGTTGCATGTATTCACATTGACAGTTTGAATGTGTCTCTCATTTTTGGCCTCCGCTTTCTGAACATGTTCAGTATTAAAGTACCTTTTCAGAGATGAGCAGGCATTAGTGGTGACTTGGTACAACACAAAGCGGGTCCTTTAGTCAGTGTAGTCGTTTTACTTTTGTAGCAGTCACACAATTAGTCATATGAGGAGAAACAAGTGTCTGAAAACACTGCAATTACACTAGCATGTATCACTGAGAAACTCAGTTTGCTGTTGTATCATTCCTGTGTAGCACTAACTATCAAAACACATACTGTAGCTGAATCTTAGAACATTCTATATTTAGAAAGCTTTTCACAAAGTTTTATACTGTGAAAATGATGACAATCCTAATCTCATAAACATACTTTGTCAAATTACAGATTTTATGTATTTGAGATCTTGTAGCTGTCAGAATGGCTATATCAGACTTCACTGACAAAATATCTGGCTCAGGAACTGTTTTTGTCATTTTATCACAATTTCATTTAGACTTGTGATTATATTATCTACAATGTAAACTAAAAAAGTCATTGGAATAGTGATAATCTGGTTGGTTTTCTTTTAGTTGGCTTTGTGTTTCTAGTATTTACAGTGAGATTAAAATGCAGAATTTTCTCTATGTATGGAACCATCTTTGGCCTTCTAACAGCATATAAAAACATCTGACTGTTGCTTCTTTGAATATTCAGGTCATTAAAGGCACATCCTTTGAAATTTCATACTATGTGAAAAGCAGTTTAGTTGTGGATTTAGGTGTTATGTCATTCAGCTATTTATGAACTTAACCCATTTTAATTACAATCAAAATGGTGTAAATTATGAACCTCGTGGATTACCATCTGGATTGTCAATTTTCGAATATGAAAGTGAGACATTACATATGCATGCTTAATCATGTCAGATGAAGATGTGTTTTTAAATTCAGGGACTTGAGTAGAGGCTGCGCCTTTAAAGACTAGAAAAGTCCTGGTTCTCTGTTAAAACCATTTGAAACTGAACTGTCATGTATTTTTGAGTCGTGTGTGCCAGGTTGTTCAGATTAGGAGTGAAAATGTCTTTTCACTATCCTCTTAAAACATAACGGCTTGCAGCATCTCCATAAAAAAAGTATTTCCATATTCCACAGCTGTCATGTCTGGCAGGCCAGAATATACTGTATCTCATTGTTCAAAGTCCTTTATTGAATAAATCTTGAGTGATAAAGACAGAAGTTGATGTTAAAGAGTGAAATGATCTCGGTTTAAAAACAATGTATTGGCATTCAGCAATTAAAAGGTGAATGTGAAACAAGTCTTGCGAGTTATTTAATCTCCAAAATACAATATTAACCTTTATTTCCGTCCATGAGCTAGTCTAAATAATAGTTACAAATAAAACAATTAATTGTATAATCTATATTATATATTTTTTTTGTTGTTGTACTAAAATAAATTAGTTTTAGCTAAAAGTTGGGACTCATAAAGACAACAGAACCACAAAAAATGAACGTTTATATAATCAGTTAATTCATTGTTATGAATTTTCAGTGTTTCATCAATAATAATTGTATTTGAATTAATTTCTTATATCAAATCTAAACACCACAGTTGCGAACCACTTCATTAAAATGCAGAAAACTTATATTCCTAAATATTCCTGCCATATTTATGCAAAACCGTGTCTCCAACAATGGGTGGACTTTGAAATAATAACAATTTATAAAATTGTAACAACTGAAAGAATTTATTTGGGTGCATTTACACATGAATCCTCACCATATTTTTAAATGTATACACACTTTATGTCTCATGAACAGAATAAGGTTAGGAGGGTTTTACACCTTCAGATTCACTCTATCATGGTATTTCTGGTACGGGTCGTTGAGGTACCAGTTTCTTCTTTTCCAATAGGATGTTGTCATTTTGTCCAGCAATTTACATTGAGTTTTATTACAGAATACATGTTCTCTGAGGCGCTTCTTGCGGGCTGCTGACTTCTTCCACAGCTTTTTCTTATATCCTGCCTAAAAAAACAACAGTATTATTGAACAATCAGAGAAAGATTGTGCGTACGTGCATTTACACCCCGTCTCCTCCTCGAAATCACCATATATGGAGATTACAATGCCTAGTTTTACGATGAATGTGCTCATCTGCATATCATTTCCATGCATATTCCCATCCACGTGACACCATGTTTAACACCGTCAAAGATAAAAGACATTAAGGAAATATGAGATACGGACTATAAATGCCATTTGTGCCATACATTAATTTTTATTTCTAAAAATCATCCAATATCCTTGTTATGTTTTAGCATAAATATATCAAGATAAAACAAAAAACTGTTTAAAATAGTTATCAGATAAATATTTTAGAATAGAGTTGATCTCATTCTTTAACACTGGCCAAATAGTAGCCTATTTCAATTGTTTTAAACAATTCAAATCAAACTAAATTTATGCAGTTTTGCTGATAAGGGGAATATCTTTTAGCTATTATTTTTTGTGGAAACAGATAGGTCTATTTATTGCAGTGTAAAATTGTCTGGCTCGGCACGTCACTAACAAAGTATTTTAAAAAGGAAACGTATAAATCTTACCGTTTTCTTCAAGTTGTATCCTTCAAATACAGCGGGACTTTTCATAATGTTGTAGAGATGCCTTCACACGACATCAACACCTCTGTGCAGCTGTGGTTGTACAGTAATTATCATTGGACCTATTCAAACTGGATAATAGACCGTTCGACCACTGAATCCAGCAGTGTTCGCCATAATATCGAAGTGCGCATCATTGATCATTGTTCTTGCTAAAAAATATTTTGTCGTAAGATGAGATCTGCACTTCAGTTTAAAGATGAATTATTGTGCACCTATAGCACTCCTCGCGGTCAATAAAAGGAAAAGTGATCAAGCGCATTTACTACAAAGATGTCTAGATTCACATAATTTTGGTTTAAGTTCTGCGTAATGACTTTATGTAATTTCTGTCCTTATCTCCATATGAGAGTCGAATATTTAATGTAAATGTATATATCGACATGAAAATAAAGAGCTTAAAATCATTGTTTTTACTTCATTAATTTTCTCACTCAAGGAAAAAGAGTTTGTACGCGTGGGTCAGAGTTTGCGTGCATGTGCGCAAATTTTCCCGTCAAGTTTGTTTTTATAAATCCCAAATTTTGCGCAGGAAGTAGCGTACGCCTCTTTCAGGGCTGTTTTTGTGCGCACGCAACGGTTATAAATGAGACCCCAGGTGTGTAGGCTGGATTTAAATACCAGACTGCCAACTAATTGTATGATATTTCTGAATAATATGGAAGCAGGAAATTACCTTTCTCCTCACCCACAGGCCACAGTGCAACCTGAGAAACCGTTGAACAACCGACTTCACAGACTTCCTCTTGCCTTTCCTCAGACTGTAGTATGTTAAGTTCCTGACCGGCTGGAGCATCAATGAAGGGATGAGGGGCGTTACTCTGCAGAACAGCAAAGGTCACCATTAGAAAATACGCAAATCTTCAGTCATAACATGCAATACGGTGTCTGCCAACAAAGCAGACAAGGCTTTTAGAGCAGGGTGCCCAACTTCGGTCCTGGAGAGCCACAGTCCTGCAGAGTTTCCTCCTCCAAACCTATAATCAAACACACCTGAACAAGCAAATCAAGGTCTAAGGGTTACTAGAAAGCTACAGGCAGGTGAGTTTTTATCAAGGCTGGAGCAAAACTCTGCAGGACTATGGCTCTTCAGGACCTAAGTTGGCCATCGCTGCCTAAGAGCATGTAGTATTTGGTGTAAAGATTTAAGCTTGTGTGATACTGCTTTTATCCACCTTATTTTTTAACATTGAAGTAAGTTATTTTTAACATCAAAGAATAACAATGCAGTAACAAATAATGAACCTCTCTGTACTATAAGCCAGTGTGTCCAATTACCACAATAAATTAAAATAATATTGCTAACTTTACATTGCAAAGGTGGCACAGAAGCGTTTCTGAAGTGGCATTTAGGTGTCTTTACACAGACTGTCTAATGCTGCTCAGAGGTGGAATAAATGCATTTACACACATACAGCTATATGCTTTGATACTGAGGGCTGATGTAGGTCAGAGCAGGCCTAATCTAGTCTGACTTTTATTCTGCATTACATCTTTACACTGAATTTTGAGCAGGCACAGAGCAGCCTTAACTGCTCTGCAAAGAGACCTTCTATAATATAACTGCAACATTAAGCAGCACAACGGACTGTTTTTGTTACAGCTAAAATAGCTGGAAGTGGCTGAAACCGGAAGCCTTGCAAAGTTTTCACGTTAAAACTAGCTATTATAGCTATACAATTCCAACACTTTGAACACAATATTGCCAGTTAGGTTATTTCTGCTCAGCCAACTAAAATATTTCTTAATGTAAAAACAGAATCAACTGTTGCCCATTTTAGAGCAAACACACCAAAATATTGTATTGGTGTAGAGACTAATAGAGTTATCTTTATGGACATCGTTTTTGGCGTGAAAGGGCCTTTAAAAAGTGATTTCCACAATACTGTTTCTGTTATTGTTATAGTTGTGACGTGGACTTCCCGATTCTGATGGAATTAGAATGATTATTAAAACTTTATAGTTATCATCATCCTTGGTGTAAAGGGATAATTCACCCAAAAAAGAACATTTATCATTTACTCACCCTCAAGTTGTTTCAAACCTGTATGAGTTTCTTTCTTCTGTTGAGCATAAAAGAAGATATTTTGGTGGTGGATGAGGAGATACCCCCTGACAATGTAAAGCGCTTTGAGTGCCTAGAAAAGCGCTATATAAATGTAATGAATTATTATTATTATTATTATTATTATTTTGACAGTTGACTGACTTCCATAGTCAGTCAATGAGTAGTCATTCAACTGTTTGGTTTACAATATTCAAAATATCTTCTTTTGAGTTCTACAGAAGAAAGAAACTCATACAGGTTTGGAACAACTTGAGGGTGAGTAAATTATGACTTTTTGGGTGAACTACTCCTTTAAAGGTTATACAGTGGTGGCCAAAATTATTACCACACTAGTATTTTCACCAGCTAAAAATGGTTTTAAGTCAGTTATTTCTATCTTTTGCTGTAGTGTGTCAGTAGGAAATATCAGTTTACATTTCCAAACATTCATTTAGCCATTAATTGTAATAATCCAGTGAGATTTTTGTCTGACAACAGCCAGTGCTCCACACAGAGATCTGTTCTCTTCATCATCAGTCTGTCTGGGATTACATGAAGAAACAGAACAAACTGAGACACACTAAATCCAGAAGAACTGTGGCAACGTCTCAAAGATGCTTCAAGAGACCTACCTGCAAACTACAGTACTGTTAAAAGTTTTAGGCACTTGTGTAAAAATGCTCTAAAATGAGGATGCTGTCAAAAATAAGGTCATAAATAGATTATCTTTATCATTTAACTTCTATTAACTAAATTAAATCAACATTTGGTGTGACCATCCTTTGTGTTTAAAGCAGGCTTTTGCCCTCGGTGCACTTGTGCTTAGTTTTTCAGGGAGCTTTGGAGGTAGGTCTCTTGAAGCATCTTGGAGACGCTGCCACAGTTCTTCTGGATTGAGTCTGTCTCAGTTTGTTCTGTTTCTTCATGTCATTCCAGACAGACTGATGATGAAGAGATCAGATCTCTGTGTGGAGCACTGGCTGTTGTCAGACAAAAATTATTACAATTAATGGTGAAATTAATGTTTGGAAATGTAAACTGATATTTCACAATGCAGCAAAAGAGAAATAACTGACTTAAAACCATATTCAGCTGAAAATACTAGCGTACTTCTAATAATTTTGGCCACCGCTGTGTAAAGACACAAACAGAATAATATACATTTAAACAGACAGACTGGCAAATGTGTGGCTAGAGCAGGTCTTACCGCTTCAGCAGGCCGGTCTGTTGGAGGGGAGCAGCGGTGTGAACAGCAGGCAGTGGTCTGGAGACATGTCTCTGCACTACAGCTGAGAAACCAGCTGTCTGTGGGAGTCTGACAGCAGGAGAGAGACAGTCTCTGCCTAAAACCGACAGGGGTCTCAGCAAACCTGACCAACAAAGGAGAAAGAACTCTAGTTTACAGAGTACAGCTACATGAATACAATACATACTGATAAAACACAGTATAGTGTATGGACGTTTTGTGTTGTCTAATGATAGATTTTATCATCATTACATACTCATTTTTCACATTCTACCACAATGATATAATCATAAAGCAACAGAAAGACATATAAATGAGATGTAGAATAATATAAGATCAAATTAAATAAAAAGGTCGAATAAACCGTAATAAATTGTTATATTGCATCGAGGAGAACCGATTCCAGTGCACAGACACACTGTAGCGGACATAGGAAACTTTTATTGCGTATTCCTACGCACCACAACTTTTAAGAGTCTATAGAATCTCGTACACATATTTAGCTATGTATTCTGACCATAAAACGTAAATATGCACACTTCATACCTGACAAACCTCTCGTCAAGGTGGCCGCCATATTAAACGCCACTGACGCATCGACTACAGTGGCCGGTTAGGACAAACAGAACGCGCTGCGAGAATACACAGAGTGGAAAAAAGGTCCTACCAAAACTGAAATTGATTTCCACAAGTCAAATATAAAAAGAGAAATAAATTGAATTAGTCTGCTCTTTTTCTTACACCAAAAACTAGCTCTAGATAAACTGTGACGAATAATAATACATCGTGCAAATGGATGCTGGCTTTGTGCAAACAAAATAATAATAATAACAATAATTTTGGGTGGGAAAGCGCCATCGGGAACATTTATCGTTTATATACAGTTTTCTATTTTAATATACTTCAAAATATAATTTATTCCTGTGGTGGCAAAGCTGAATTTTATCAGCCATTACTCCAGTCTTCACTGTCACATGATCCTTCAGATTTTTTGTGTGTTGGAAACAGTTGTGCTGCTTTTTTATATACCGTAATAAAAAAAGTTATTTTGTAATCTATTTTATAATAGAAACCTTTTGTAACAATATAAGTCTTTACTGTCACTTTTTTAAAATGAATTTAACATATCCTTAATAAAAGTATTCAATTCTTAAAAAAATAAAATAAAAAAAATAAAGTACTGACCCCAAACTATATATAGTCTTTAAAGGCACAGCCTCTACTTAAAAAGGGTCAAGTTTGCCTTTCTCAAGTGAGTATTTTACATAACTGAGTTAATCCAGAAAGTGTGACCCTATGGCTGAGGAACACTATGGGATTTGTGCAACAGCTTGCTGGAATCACAGAGCAAATTTTAGGACTTGATTTTCACATATCATTCATCACTGATGTTAAAAGAATATTTCTAAAAAATAAAAAAAAAGTACACATTATTTTCCCCTGCAAAAGTGGAGTTTGTCAAGACGTTGTTAAATAGATGCTAAAATGTAATTATGCATTATGTGTATGAGTTTTATGAAGTCGCTGTTTGTTTGTTTTTTGGGGTGATAACCAGGGCTTTTTTATATGCAACAATGTGTTGTTTATAGCATTGTTATTTCTGTTGTCAAAGAGTCAAAAGAACCCATCCCCAGAGTCCCCAACTTCAACCAAAGCTTTAAATGCTGCTTTTAAAGTATACATTGTATACATGAGAGTCAAATGCTAACATCATACTCTACTGTCTGTGGTGAAAGGCAGTGATATGAGCTAATAAAACATTGCTGTGTTTGTTTGAACAGCTCAATCAGCCCAAAACAGCACCACTGGCTTTTTGGCTAGACTACCAATGGCAGATGAGGGAGTTTTTTAGAGAACCTTGTTTGAAAACCAAAATTACACACTTCTAAACCTTAGCTATCGCCAAAAACTAAACATAACCTACACTGTAAAAAGCGATCAGCTGACTTAACATAAAAAGTGAGGAAACCCGTTGCCTTAAAATTATCAAATAAACTTCATGCATAATTAAAGAAATCAGGTAAGTGAACTTGACAATTCTGAGTTACATTGACAAATAAAAGTTATTGAAACAAAAGAAAATGTGTTGCGGTCACTTTTTATTTTAAGTTGGACTAACTTAAATTTATTAAATTGCGATTACTTAAAAGTGTGAATCTAGACTTAAAACTAACAAGTTAATCGGAGTTCTGTCAACTTGTACTTAAATTGAGGAAACCCGATGCCTTGAAAAAATTAAGTAACCACAACTTATTGTACGAGTAATTACAATTCACTTGTGATTGATTTGATGTAATCCTACTTCTTTAAAATTGAAAATTGTAGGCTACTAATACAATTCTCAAAAATACAAAATTGTTCAAAACAATTTGCACAAAAACATTTCTATGAAGAGTTGTCAAATTAAGTAAACTCACCCATATTTATTTATTTATTTATATATATATATATATATATATATATCGTGTTACATTACTCGTATTTTTGATTTTCCATCTTTTTGCACTGAGATTTTTGTATTTGTTTTTTGCATTTTGAAAATTGCATTCTGAGTAATGTAGAGCTGTGAGGAGGTTTAATTGGTATCACCAGCTCTGTGAAAGCTCTCATTTTGTTTAACTAAATTTTGTTTTGCTACTTCATCTTTTCCTGTTCATTTTGTGAACCTTCTTGTCAATTAAAGTGAGAAGACACTTTTGATAGTAAAACGTTTTCCTTATACCAAGAACTGAATAAACTTAAATTAAATAGAACCCCTCAATGTGTTCCTGGTGGTAAATTTAAATCCCCGGTCACACATATATATATATATATATATATATATTAGCGCTTTATACAACAGACTGTGTCAAAGCAGCTTTGCATTATTAAACAGGAAAATAGTGTGTAGATAATGCAAACAAAATTCAGTTATGCTGTAAAGCAGCTCTAAAAAGAGGACAAAAATAAAGTCAATATTTCAGTAAAAGTCAGTTCATCGTTGATTCAGTGATCATCATCATCATCCAGCTCAGTTCAGTTCTCCTAAATAGTGTCTGTGAAATCAAGTCGTTAATAACCCCAAAAATGTAGTGTCCACCAGCGGCCAAACTGCGCCTACAAAACATAAAAACAAAATACAATTTAATTCCGTTTATGAGAGAGAGAGCACCGTTTCCTTTGTATTCAGAAATCATACCAGTCCTTTCTCAAAGAGATCTTTCTCTTCTTCAACCCACCGAGTTTGTGCTCCAGAACTCTTCACCAATGTCCTACATTCTAAAATTAAGTACTGTACTTATACTATATATATATATATATACACACACACACACTACCATTCAAAACTGAGGTCAGGATGAATTTTTTAAAGAAATTAATTCAACAAGGATGCATGAAGTGGCAGTAAATACATTTATAATGTTACAAAACTAAATGCTGTTCTTTTGAATTTTGAAGAGTCCAGGAAAAAGTTATCATGGTTTCCACAAAAATAGTAAGCAGCACAATCTTTCAACATTGATAGTTATAATACATTTTTCTTGAGCAGCAAATCAGCATACTAGAATGATTTCTGAAGGATCATGTGACACTGAAGACTGGAGTAATGATGCTGAAAAGTTTGCCATCACAGGAATAAATTACATTTAATAATATATTCAAATAGTAAACAGTAATTTAAAATGGTGATAATATTTCACAATATTAAGTTTTTACCATATTATTTAATATAGCCTTTTTTGTTACTACCAACTCTCATGCTCTTTGACAAAAATAAACAAGTCCAGTGCAGTTTTCTAATTATGAAAGCACTACGTCTTGCAGGCCTCCATATATTTTAGCTTCTCCTTTGATTAAAAATAATATTTTTTAATGGACAGAAACGAAATTTTTTTATTAAATGTTTAACATTTCACCCGTTCTTACTGATCCTGACAAAACGTCATTCTTGCTGTTTCCAGTGGGTCATCCTTATAGTTGAGCCCTGCTATCTTTTATATGACGTGCTTCTCCACGGTGTCCACAAATCACTTTTTGATTGTTTTGAAGATAAATAGTCTTTACATGTGAGATATGTGAGTCCAGACGGTAAGCAGTAGCAGTTCGTCTAAACTGAATAATTACAGAGCAACCTCCTTCTAGACTATAATATTTAGTTGTGAGCATATCTGCCAGAAGCATGATCAGATCTCTCACCCTACTAACCACATCCTTATATGGGACAAGATGTAGCCTGGCATGGAAACCTTATCTGATGAGAAAAGGCTTTTGTTTGGTGACTCAGCGCAAGTGGAATGTCGCTGCGTGTCACACCTCTGTGTTGACCTCCTCAGTCTGTGTGCGCTAAGCAGAAATCAGCAGATGCCACTGGAAGACAACAGCGCTCCAGTGCCAATGCCTCGCTGGTGACGTCATAGTTGCTCAGCACTTGTTGGGAGTCCAGACAGTGCGATTGGTCGGGCTATTCCACTCGCTGATGACCCGGGTCAAGCCTTCTGCACCTCATTATATCATCAGCTCTTATTACAGCCATTGCACAGACACATATATTTGCTTTTGTGTATGGAAAATAAGTACGAAATAAATAGTTAGTCCAGTGTGGTATAGGGCTTTGATTAAATTATAAGCATCTCTGAAGTCTCAAAGTAAGGGTAATAGGTTAGTAGTACCTGCTGTGTGGGTGCGTTATCCCTTACCCTGCGGACTCTGTTTATAATAAGAGGCATCTGTATTTATGCCTTGCTTAATGATGTGACTCAGGAGTCTCCAGGTGCTTAACAAAAGATGGTTGTTCCTCATTACCATGTGCTTCCACACTAAGGTGCTTTGTGAAGATTTATTTATCAAAGACAATCTCCTTTGTCTTTGCTTCCGCTCTGAACCTCAACAACCTTCTGGAGGTTTTGTAGTAGGCTAAATCGTCATGTAGAGAGAGGTGTTCATACTCTGTCTGTGTTATCTATGAAGCAAATGTAAAATCAACACATTTTTGGAGATATTTTATCATTTGAGTTTGATGTTATTTGAATCTCATTGATGGTGCATATTGTTTGAGGCTGACTGTAACGCCGTATATATAGAGCCACATATATGGCTAGTTGATATAAACAATAATCAAAATTCAAATTCAAAATCTCTCCTCTTTTGCCTCTTTTGGAAGGCCAAACAAAGTAGTTTCGCTTTGACAACAAAACGAACGGCAACATTAGAATCAAAGAACGTTTGGGCGGCGTTATGCAAATCTTCTCACATCGTGACGTAGACATGTGGGGTGTGTTAGAACGAGCCGTTTTAGGTAGGCGTGGCTGACTCTTAACTTTTATAAAGAATATCTCTTTGGATTTGAGACTTTAGTCTTTGCAACTTTACAGATCTTCTTTATGCACCAAGAGCTTGTAACACTCCAAAGAGAAAGGAAAAATTGAAATCGCATCATATGACCCCTTTAAAACAGTTATCATTTTAGGGTGAGCTAACCCTTAAAATCCATATTACTTTACCAGAACACTGCTTTTTGTCTTCCAAGCAGACTATTGATCCTGGCGAATCTCAGCACTGCTCAGGTCCCTGTTAAGAGAGCAGACAAATAATAAAGACGTTAATTTGTTAATCCTTTGATGGAGCTTGATAATGTGGCAGCTTAGATATACAGCCTTGTAATGAAGT